TAATTGGGCAATTCGGTTGCTAACCTAATGAATAAATAACATATAGCTACAATTATTAATTGTTCCGAAAACTAGATTACAAAAGTACTAATCTAGATTAATTATTATAATAATTGCAACTATTAAACGCCAGTATAGGCAGAAGAAAGTTTTAAAATTTTGAATAAAATTTTGTGTAATTTCCTCCTGCACTATACATATACCTAGTACAAAAAGTATTTATTTAAATTCTTATAGTTTCACTTTCACAAGTTTATAATATTTATAATAAAAACACATTTAAAAAAAATAGGATTATGTTATTTTACATGATGTTATGTACTTACAAATATTCAATTTTTAAAGCAAAAATTCTTATTTTTACATAATTGTACAAACTTCTAAACAAACATCAATTAGTCTCCGTATAAATCAGCAACTATATTGTTTGAAATAATATTATTATTATTATTATATTATGTTTAATTTTGAAGGAAAATAAACTTTTCCAAATACTGAATCATAAATATTAATAATAGAAACACTAATAAAAAAGCAAAATAGCATCTAACAATAGCATATGTGTATAAATATATTGACCTGTCGAAACATTTATATAATAATATAATAACTAATAAGCATATACTTGTCTCGTCTTAAAAGGGTTATTTATTGTTAGTTCGGTGCATTTTTTAATTTTAAAGTTTAGTTATAATGTCATTTTTGTTCGTCTGTAATAACATATTATATCTTACACTGAACATGGTTTTCCGTCGTCATAGACCTCGGAGAAGTCTAATTTCCTATACGTATTCTTCAGAATGACGTATTTAGGTCACCCGAAAACGATGTGGTTGATAAAAAGCAAGTCTGGGCATTAACTAGTCAAAAAGTTAAGTTAGTTTTAAATTGTTTACATTACTAGTTACTTTTTTTTTAAAGTAACTTCAAATTTGACAAGTTATTATTTTTTTATTTGACAGATATATGAATCTTATAAAAAACTTTCAATCATTGTTCAGGGGTTAAATTGACAATTAATTTACGTCTTCGCCCCTCTGTGTATAAATTATTGCACTTTTCGGGCAGTCGGTTGTAAATTGACAGATTAACTCAGTAGACTTTAAAGCCGTTTGCCTGCAGGTCATATTACCAACGATGGGCTGTCGAAAACTCGGGTGACTCTCGTCTGTGGCCAGGTATTAGTTGTTGTGGGTTTGTGATAAGTTTACGGTAAATTATTTAACTTAAATGTTTAAGTTAGTATTAATTTGTTGATCATTAACATGTCGGCATACGGCCTTAAATAACTGTTTATAGTTTGCAGTACTGCGGATGATTTGATTGCTTTTTTACCAGACGATGTTGGTAATGATATAATATAATTTTCATTCGCTTTATTTTACGTATCTGTTTGCTTTTCATTAGGTACCCTTTGTTAGTTGATGCCGGTAGACATAACGAAACCCGCATTAGGTACACAATTTAATCTGTTGTGTGTTTGTTGTGCGTTTCATGGAAATTGTGAAAATCGTTCGTTCTATTGAATCTTTGAAGAATAATATAATATGCACTGACGCACTGTGCACTTACCACTTGAGTTTTCTTGTAGAGTCATATGATATCATTTAAATTTTAAGTATAACAACTGAAATCTCTAATATTATGTTACATAATACACAAATCCTCGAAGTTGTGTCTATTATACAATTATACAAATTGCAAACATCCATATAGGTGGTAATATTATAAATAAATGTTATAAAATGTCTTCAACTCCGTTCGTTCTTATTGACTTATAAATATATCGTTGTAGTTTGGTTTCGTTGCAAAAAAAAGCTGTATAAAATATACAAAATTTCGGAGTACTAACTTCAAAGGTGGGGCTACTGGATAAAATGATATCCCCCCCCATGACAATAACCCAAATAAACCACTGAGCTACTTAGATATATTTGGTCAACCTACCATAAACTTTATTATTACCTAGGTAAAATTCAAACTATTTTATTACACAAACGTAAGATGACGACAAAATACTAGGATGATTACCATGTAAGTAATAATTTTATTTAAGTTAAAAATAAAATAATCAATTATTGTTATTAACTGTATTTAAGGTGTATCGTGTATTAAAACGTTCCCTGGTAGCTGATAACTGATACCAACTTACTATAACTTACTATACTATACACACCTAACGATTCATATGTTTAATAAATTTTATTTTCGGAACAGATTTTTAAGAGTATGGCCCTACGTACTAGTATAATATTATGATCTAAGATATGACTATTATTGATTATAAAAGTAATACATTTTCTTCTTTACATTTTAGTTTATAAGTATTCCAAACAACTAATAATATAATACATTAAAGAAATTGTATACAAAGAGCCATACCGTAAAATATGTAACAATATAACTATTCGCATAACCTATGATTTGTCAAAAATATTATAATTTTTTTTTTTTTTTTTAATTGATCTTTTAAAGCCCGGCGACTATGGCCATTAGCTGATTGTAGGGGTTTTTATTGTAAGTAGTAGGGTTTGCAGTTGTAGGGTTATTACACGTGTGTGTTGTGTTTGGTAGAATTTCTATTGGGGCACCCGTAGGTTTCTGCCATGCCCCGGAGTGGGGGATGGCGGCACTTGTTCTCCGGACACCGTGACTTGCCCGGAGAAAAATGCCGCCCAGTGGCCGAGAGAATCGAACCCGCGACCGCCAGCGCCGCAGACGACGTGTTCGACCGCTCGGCCACCTCGTCCCCCAATATTATAATTATGTTTATGTTATATTCTATATATTTTATCGATAAATTTATGATAATATTTTAAGATTGAAAGAACCACATATGTACCTCATTTTTCAGCACAAATAATTTTTTTTAATTAGCTACGATTTTAATTTTTTATCCATGTAAATTTTATTACCTACCCCGTATTCATTGCGTTGTGCTTTGTGCTTTTCGTTATTTACATTCTATACAATTATTTCCACAAAAAGGGTTAACAACTGTTAACACTCACTTTCACTTTACAATTTACGCATTGCAAAACCATTTAATAAACGTACTAAAATAAGTTATATAGTTTAAGTTTTCTTGTTCCACAGAAAAGAAGGTAAAAAAATCTTTCCTGAGAGCCTGACACAAGATGTGTTACATCTTCCTGTCATACATAATTTAAGTAATCTAACAATAACGTACCAACATATTTTATTCATGTTGACCACACGTGACATAATATTATATTTTGTTTGCATACATCCAACGTTATACATACCTAAGCACTATAAAATATACGAATAAAAAAAAAATTGATGTACGTAAAAATATTTTATATTATATTTCGGTTCAGTTTCTATTATCATTAAATCAAACTGAATAAACATCACGGTGATAAATATTGTAATATATATTTAATATTATTATGTAGCAAAATTATTTTCTAGCAATATTATATGGAATAAAAAAGTATTTTGCGGGTAGATTTAATTTGTATAAATGTGCGGTACCTATAATAGGTTTATTTTCAACATAAAATAAATTCCATCTAAAAATAAATAATCCATATCGAAGACAATACGTTTTCCTTTTATACAATTTAATATTGTCATTGTAATATATATATATTAAAGTAAGTACAATGGATTTAGAAATATAATATCCCTGTGGATTATAGGTACCTATATATGTGGTAATTTGACTTATTGTTATAAGGTAATCACACATTTACTGAGGCAAAATTATATCTTATTTTAATGTGCATGTGCGTGCCTACTTTAATCTTACACAACTATACCGAACTTATATTATGAAACTATATTATGATTTTCACCAGCAGCGACAGCATATTATGTTATACATATTTTTATTTTATAAATATATTTCTGCGCATATCGACAAGTCTGCAAAGGTCGAATATAAATAGGAGAATTTTATAAAATGCGTCTTCGTCACAACGAACATTTGTTCAGTTGCAGGCCACTCATAATGCTCAGCGTTGCCATTCATTCATCATTAATATATTTGTCGTTTATTTGTTTACGTTTATGGTTTTCTCCTTTTCTCCCTCTCTCTCTCAGTGTCCCTCTATTTCTCTCCGTCAATTCCAGATCGATCCATTTCACCATGGCGTCGTCAGTGGCGGCGTTTGACATGTTTATTAAAGCACGCATCCGACACGTTTTCTCCAAGGTCGTTTTCCACCAGAAACTCATTAAAAGGAATTTTATTAGTAGCTGCTATACACCCGCCTGCAACCCATCGTCGTATATATCCTTTGCAGAGAATCCTTGGCTAAAGTATGGCGCCGACCAGCGAAATGTGTCTGACGTCGATCTGTTCAGAGTTAATCAACTCCCGCGACGGCGGCGTCGCATGCAATTATTTTACTCCTCAGTTTTAGCCAATAGCGTGTTTGAATTTCATTTGTAGAATTCCTATGTAATAAAAAAAAAATGTATTGAAATAACGGCGCCAAGTCAGCACGTAGCTTATTACAACTGCAGTGTACAAACTAAAGTATAATGAAATAGGTATAGTGGTGGTTTTAATAATACACATAATACATTTTTTTAATTTTTTTAAATAACCACGGAGTTAAAAATTAATGTATGGAATACCTACATTGTTTTAATGTGTTTCCAGGTTGTAAATTTAAAAAATAAGTGTTTTTTGGAAAAAAATCTATAATGTAACTTAAGATTCAATAGAGAACATTAGACATGGATTTTTCACCCAAATCCAAATCTAATACCCACATAGGAAATATATATTATGTATGAGTTATGTATGAGCACTGTAATATTAATATTATTATGAATAAATACATATATTTATACATACAGTTTAAAAAAAATACTAAATCAATGGTAATATTTTTAAGTATCAAATGATAAATAGTAATTATTAATAACCAAGGTACAATATATATATAAATATATAAATTTAAAAAAAAAAATGTTTTTTTAATACCGCAAAGTATAATATTCTTATACTATATTTTTAATTTCAGAACGCTATGTTTGAAGAATTTAATAACGTGACAAACGCGATAAACGCGACGTCCAAAGCCTTCGTAGAGTCAGTTATGAGCACGACGATGATAAACGACAGGCCGCTGGGGGACAGCGACGCAGTATCGCCGGTAACGTTGAGCATGGAATGGAGCAGGGTGGCCAGGCTGTTGATCATGATTGGCCTGTCCGTCATCGGCAGCATCGGTAACGTGTACATGATCAGCTCGGTAATGATCGAGGACCATCTCAACAAAAGGGGTGAGTACCTATAAATTACAATTGTGAACGATCGATATTTTGATGTGTAATAGAATTTTTTTTTTTTTTTTTTGAGTTAAGGTGCACTGCACAGACTAATATTTTTAAACATGAATCAGTAATTCATGGTGCAGTGATTTTTTTAGCCTATACGTAGCTTATATTTACATTTTTTAGTGGCTATTACCATAGGGTTTATACCGAATCAAAATATTTGTTTCAACATACATAATACAAAATATTATGTAAAAAATTATATCAAAAGTAAATACCTATAAACTGTACAGTGTACACGATGATTAATGAATAACTATAATATTGGTTGAACGAAATGGAGTGGTAGGGTTTCCACCCCGGCACTCCCATGGTACTCGTTCTGCTTCAGAATATTAAATCGAAAATATAACACAGATTGTTGGTTAGGTTAGGTTAGGTTAGTATAAAAATATAAGTTTATAATAAGCTTATATATTATAAGCTATAAAACATACTGAATAACTTAGAAATTGTCTAAATAGAATACCTACCTGAATTATTATTAAATAAAATCAGATTCGTGTTTACTTAAGAGGTTGTCAGCCCGTCCAGCCCGATATTTGTTACCTCTCTCAGACCCGCACGCACCACATAGACAAAACGTATTCACGTGTAAAGTCGTTTTTTTATGATTTTTGAATAATCATTAATCACTAAAATTAGAGTAAAATTACCTATTACAAAATGTATAAAGAATAATATTTTTGAGGGTTTGGTACATCCGTGGTTTTATATTATATTATTATTTGACTATAAATTTAAATTTGAATGGATATTAAATTGTTTTGAGTCAATATTTAGACAATCCGTGATATACCAAACTCTCAAAAATATTATACTAAGTAGTTCTTATAGTGGATAATTTTTCTCTAAGTTTACTCAAAAACATAAAAAAATGAATTTGCATGTGTACGTTTTGTTCATGTTGCAAGTGGACCAAAAAGATAAAACAAATAGGTACCTAGTGCGATGGTATCTTCTTAAAACCTTCACACAGGTAACCGCTGATTCACGTCAAAACAATCACCAAGTAACTCGATTAAAATTTAAAAAATGCCATTGCGAAGAATGACATCTTACAACAGCTGTATTAATGTATTATACAATATCCTGTATGGCTGTATAATAGTATACCTTACCGTATAGTTGAACACTGTTTAAACCATATCGGGTCAGGTTATACTTCGTATAATATTTTCCTCTCAATTGAGTTCCTATGGTATCGTGGATACTAAGATGTATTAGCTGCGTTAGAGATTCAAAGAGACAAAACTAAAACATATTGTGCACGACACAATTTAAAATTTAAAAATTGTGTTCTCCGTCACGTTTAATAGTTCAGTATAATATATTTGTAAATACCTTATATCCTCAAAAACAGTGTACACTCTGTAACTCAGTTGCTTATATTTTTCAGTACCCTATATGGCTATATGTCTATATACATATACAATATACATGCTTTTGAATTTCGTTTGCGGGACACAAGACTATTGTATCGTAAATTCCTATAACTTGCGATTTTTTAACCCTTTTATTTTACTCTTGTGCAACAACTTGACATTTTCCGTGCACCCTGTTTTCGTGGACGCACTACGGTATATTATGTATATATATATTATATTGTTCTAAATAAATATTATATGGAACGATGCCCGTTATGCTGCAGCAGTCTGTTTGGCGACATCGTCGGACTACCAGGTGTTGATTGTTATAATATATTATTATTAATATTAATATTGTGCGTTGTCACTCTGCAAAATGTTGTACTCTGTATATAGACAAGCAACGTGGTATTATCAATATCTTCTACATGTATAAAAATGAATTGCTGTTCGTTTGTCTCGCTAGAACTCAAATTTTTTTTTAAGATGTTCGTAATTGCCTGGAGAAGATTTAGAAGAAAAAAAAATTTAGGAAAATCCACCGGAAAAGTAGAAAATCTGAATGTCAAAAAATACAATAGTGACGCCATCTATCCAGAAATAATAATAGTGTTGGTTGCTATTGGTTAATCGGTCATGTTTGTTGATTTGTATTATTGTTATTGTTTAATTTTTATTTTTTACTCGAGAACGGCTGGTCCGATTTGGCTCAAATTTTTCTTAAGATGTTCGTAATTGCCAGGAGAAAATTTAGACGAAAAAAATTTTTAGGAAAATCAACCAGAAAAGTAGGAAATCGGGATGAAAAAAATACAACAGTGTATTATAATTTATATTGGTTGCAATTAGTTAATCAGGCAAGTTTGTTGATTGGTATTTTGTTTTTTGTCAATATATATATATATATAAATAAATGAATGTTTGTGTGTATATTAGAAGATCCCTGGGAAGAAGATAGGCTAATTTAAAAATGGTTAAATTTGGTTTTTTTTATTCATCTGATATTAGTACGGTTAGGATTTTGTATTAACTGATTATAATAATCCACCATAGGTGGAATACAACAAACTTGGTATAACTTTGATACTTTAGAGTTAAATCTTACACTTACGTACAAGGGGTCCGCGATCTATCGCAGGTAGATTGCCTATACCTGATAATATACTTCTGCGAAACAGAATTATTATTCCGGGCTACGGAAAAATTAACATACATGTTGAACACCATACACTGAATATTAAATAACGAATTGAACAAAGTTTGAGTCATATAGATTTGGTACATTAACGGGTAACGAAGTACAAGAGATCAGCTAGTTATATTATAATTTATAATATACTAGCTGTCCTGCCCGCCGTTGCCCAGGCCAAAGATTTGTATTTTTAATAAATATATTTGTACAAAATGTATATACCATATTTCTTCTAATTATAATATTAATATAACATGTAACGAATTGCAACCATGCAAAAAAATCATGTGTGTAGCGACGTTTTTACCTCATCTGTCGAAGTAACTAATGCCAAACATTTAAAATACTAATTTTTACTAATTATTTCTCCTATAACCAATAGCAATCATTTTTTTTTTTTTTTTATAAACAAAAATTTTTATCGTGAATCTCAAAATACCTGTTTGAGCACCGGGTTGAACAAACTGGGTCTAATTCTGAATATTCAAGAACTCGCTCGAAAACACATAAAAAATGTCTAGTGGTTTAGGAGGAGTTCATTGACATACAGACAAACATGTATTTTAACATAGATTGTTATTATTTACTTATATAGACATAGATTTATATTATTTTCGGCCAGCCAATTAATTTCACCAAAGAATATTATTATACATTAAAACCTTCCCCTTGACTCGACCGATTTATTAGTGAAAACGGTATTAAAATAAGTAGAGTACCAGAACGGGTCAGTGTTTCTCTACTATATTATGCATGTTATATACATATAAACCTTCCTCTTGAATCATTCTATCAATTAAAAAAAACCGCATCAAAATCCGTTGAGTAGTTTTAAAGATCCAAGCATACAGAGAGAAAAATGGACTTTATTTTATAATATGTTATAAGATATATTCTTATCCGTCGAGTCGTCTACGAATCGAGCAAATTATATTAATTATTATTTTATAATAAATATAAGCGATATATTATTATACCTAACAATCGCAGGACCAGATCAATTTTCTCAAGCGGGTATTTTATGCCGATGGATTTGCTAAACGCGGTTTAGGTACATATATACAGACGAAATTTATAGATATCTTGACAGTCGTCAACCGTTCATTTACCCGTGTAAATAATAGCCGAGACGTGTGTATGGGATAAATGCTCGCTTATAATGTTTCGCCTCGAACGTTATTCTGCTGCAGCAGTATATCGCCTTTTTTCGATATATATATAGACTCTAGTCTCACTATACACAACAATTTATTATTATCAATAACGGTTTAGGTGCGTATAGAACATATATATTGACGAGCTAAGATTCCGATAGTGGTTTTCGACCAGGGATCGTTTAAAATGCCGCTGTGCATGTTATTGCATTATTTTATATTAGGTACCTACATTATAATATACTCGGCGGCGGCTTGTGATACAGCTGAACTTATTGGAAATTTTTATTCTGCGGAATGCTTTTTTAAAACGCCTCGTTCCTTTTTTTTTCGTTATGTTAGGTAGGTACTCTATATGTGGTGTACAATACGAGCGATTTCTCGACATGCCTAGTCATAACTAAATACAGTAAAATATGTGCGTACTTACACGAAAAACATACCATGTATTTACTTATGATATGACACAACTTGAGTGTTACAATAGTCTTATTATGACCTATTATGAACATTTTATACACTTAAGATGATAATATTATCTAGTAATGATTTTTTTATTCACTAAAATATCAACATTTAATAAAATCAAATACTCATTTAGGAAAACCATAAGCCATCAACAAACAAAATTCCCTATATATAAAAAAAAAAAAAAAAAACGATAAAATTGATCGAGATCAACAACGAATTATTGAAAAGTATATCAACTATATATCCGCAAGTGGTCGAGAATCTCCGATATTTAGATACCTTGAAATGTGCCGCTACACTCCTGATATATATATATACACACAAATACATTTATAATTTATATTATATTATACTATCTAGCATCTAGATACAAAGCTCCTTTTCTAGTTAGTAGTAGGTACTATCTTTTGTCCGGTACTGAGGGTATTTGAATAAAGGTTTTCTTGAACGGTATCTCCGGAGTCCGGATATACTTACTCGGCGGTGGGGAACGGCAGAAGCGAACTTACGAGTATATACTGAACGACCTGTGGGAATTGTATTTATGCGTATATATATTCATTATACGTTTATATAAATATAATACACGTGTGGCTGCAACGAGACGTATTACATACTTATACCTATATAGGTAGTATATATATGTATATGGTAACGCCGAGCTCCATCTTTACCACGTCGTTATATTATTGTACTATTATAATATTATATATACGGTCGGTGTTGGGTAGCTGGTATTTATAAGCTGTTGATGGTCTAACA